CTAGTGGCGAGGTACTTTATTTGCTCTTCTTAGTCTAAGGAAGCTTGTGTTAAACCTTGGATCTGGGCTTTTAGGTCCTTCTCTAGTACCTTCTTGTCATGTGTAGCCTTTTCATACCATCTGGTTAACTTTCCAATTTCAGCAACAACATCTTCTAACCTTTGGTTGTGGGAATCCAGATTAAAGGTTGCACTTAGCAGCCCTTCAGTTGTGCACTTTCGCTTGAGACTCTCTTTTTCCAATACCTTTTGATCTCTCTCAATTTGTAGGTCCTTGGACTCAAGTATGAGCTGCATCTGCTTCTTCTCTTTGGTCGGACTGTGAAGGATGAGTTCTAACTATTTCTTTTCCCTTTAAGCTTGCTTTAGGGCATTTTTCAAATTGTTAACTTCATCTAAGGATATAGGCGTGACCTCTGCCTTGTACCCTGGATCTATCTCAAAGGGCAACTTGATAATATGTACCCTATCTCTGACCCATCTGGTGTAAGGCTCTCTTGCTATGGCATTCTTTCTTTTAGCTCTTCTCTTATTGACCTTATTCCAAGCTCGGATAACCTTGTTAAGCAACTCTTGAGGCCATATTACAGTTGAGGCCAGAGTATGTTTCTGAACCCAAATTGAAGTTGTCAGTAAGCATGTCATCATCTTGGAAAGTCTTCTCTGGCCTCCTTTCTTTAGGTTTTTCCTCTTTTGGAGATAAATGTTTTCTCCCAACAAGCATTCTTTCTTCAGTCTCCTTTATGGATTGAGGCTGATTAGTGCTTGATTTTGCCATAGCTTTCCCATCAGCCTATTTTGTAGCTTTCTTCTTTCTTTTGTACCTTCTCCACTGAGACCTAGACATGGGATTCTTTCCTTTGTAAATCTCATATTTGTATGCCTTTTGTTTCGATGCCTGGAATTCCCTTCGATAAGCCATCGAAGATCCTCTGCCAAACTCAAAGCTTTGCCATTTCCCTTGCCATTGGCCTCTCTCTTCGGTTGGTTTTAACCACTTTTTTGTTGGGGCGTCAACAATTGTTTGAAAGACACTGGCATGTTCGTACGAAGGATCTGCCCTCCTGTATTTTTCCTTCTTGGGACTCCTCTCTTATCGAAGACAAATTTGCCCTGGGGATCTTTTACACTTCCTATTCGATTGACAAATCAAGCTTTCTCTATGTTTTCAACAGCCTCCGTGTCATACATGGAACTGCACCTAGTGCACATTAGTGCATCATATTTCTTTTTCTAGCATTGATACATGAATTCGAGCAAATTCTCATTTGATTTGGGGTAAGCCACTTTCATCTGGTCTTCTTCTTTCTAGATGTTTTCTTCGTCAACATCCATGTCAGCTTTGTCACCCAATTCGACCATGTTGATTTCAACATTAGGATCATCAGTAATCATAATTCCTTGTAACTTAACCTTGAGCCCTTCAGTAGCCAACCTCATCTATTTTGACACCTTTGTTGGAACCTTCAGTAGTTCTATTCTTGGTGTTCTTGGCATGGAGGCCTTCAGTAGCCTTGATCATGTTGATGTTTGATGGTTCAGTGTAGTGAGCGTAAGCCACTAGCAATAGGTCAACATCAATCTTTGTTTGGGACTTGATTTTCTCACCAAACTTCAAACGTCCATCCTTGATAGAATTTTGAACAAGATCCCTGAAAAGAAAACATTATGAGGTTTTATGGCCTAAGAAATTATGATACTTACAAAAACCTCTTTTCTTCTGCTGTTCTAACATGGGAATTTTAGCACCAGAAGGCCCTATCATTTGGCCATTCTTAACTAACAAATCTAAAATTTCATCACACTTTGTCACGTTGAAGGTTTATGTACTTTTAGGGGATTTATCGCTCCTTTATGATTCAAAGGGATTCTTCCCATTCGAAGGAGCAAGGACTTTGCTGAAATATGGTGGCCACTATTTTAATTCATCTAGGTCTACGCCAACTTCGTCAAAACCTATAGGGTCACTATACTATTCTAGTTCGTCCTCGTCCATTTTGACATATGCTACCCTTTCTCTTCTATTATTCTTATTTGCCTATCCTTCTCAACTTTTAAATGTTCCACCTATCGAATCCTATCCGCCAATTGGGCTATATCTCTCAAATATTGGGTATCTAATTTCTTTTTGATAGAGAAATCTAGGCCTCTCGCAGCCATTTCGACAAACTCATGTTTAGGAACTTGTGTGAAACATCTTGCCTTCAGTAAACGGAACCTATTGAGATAGTCATCTATTGGTTCGCTAAACTTGTGCTTAATGCTGGCTAGTTCGCTTAAACTTATCTTAGACCGGCCTATATAAAACTGCTCATGAAAAATCCTTTCTAAGCGAGTCCAATCTTGGATGGAATTTGCAGAAGGGGTGGTAAACCAAGTAAATGCATTCTACGTAAGGGAATTTGGGAAGCATTTAATCCTTAGATTTTCATTATTCGCAATATCCTTAGTCTCTGTCAGATATCTGACTATATGTTCAACGGTGGATTCGCTAGTGTCACTAGAGAATTTTGTGAATTTTGGGACTTTCCATCCCCTGGATAACTCAATTTGCAAAATGTATTCTTACAAAAGGGAAGAATAGTTTGTCCTTCGAAGGCCTGCATTCATCCCATTCTGCGCCGTTATTCTTTCGACCATGGTTGCTAGGTTATTTTCTTCCGCAAGTTCATCCTGTCGAAGATGGTAAATAACTTTGTCTGGATCTTGGTTTCGATTGACCATGACCATTCTTAGGGCCTTTGCCTCTCTAGGTATCGCTTGTTCGATTCTATGGGGTTTCACCTGGTGGCCCTGGTTAACTTCGTCAGCATTTCTTCCGACTGGCTGTACTTGGTTTATTGTCGGTTCTTTTAAAAAAAACATATCCTTAGTTTTCTCTTATCCATTCCTGTTGAGGTTTTTGAACTGGCGCCTGAGGGGCACCAAAGAAATCTGTAATCCGCACCACCTATGCCGCTAATTGCTGATTAGTCTAAGCATTTTGGTGGTTAATTTGAGTAGGACTTTGGATTAAAGGGTTGAATATTGTAGCCATTTATTGGACAAGCACACCAACCATTTCATGGTTACTATCATCCATTTGTTGCCTCATTGCTTCCATAGAATTCGTCGTTACTGGAGGCAATTGGGCAGTAAATCTCGGGGTTTTAGTGATCTGACTTATATGGTTCACGCCAGAGTCAGATCCTTGTACTGGAGAAAACGTGGACATCGTTGGATCAGTGAACATTGATGCATTATTGTTCATATTTTCCATCACTAAAGTTGGCATACCAAACTGTTGTTCGCGCCCATTCATTGGCATTGTGAACCCAATCACATAATTTCTAAAGTTATTGTTATTGTTCCCTGGTGACCTTGGGGTCACTGGTTGATCCTGGGTTCGCAATGGGGACAATATTAGCCCACTGTGAGTGTTCGACGGTATGTCCATTGTATTTGGGATACTCGACGGTGGTATTGTCGTACTTGGGATGTTCAGCGAAATTATCGTCGCACTTACTGTGGTGGGTATTGATTCACTCACATATATTGCAGCCGCATTCACACTTGATGACAAAGGGGGTTATTCTCCATTGTTGTTTGGATTGTTTGGTGGATTCGACATTCTTCTAATGTACTTTCTCTTTGGTACTGCTTTACTAGTATTGGCTAATTTACCACTTCTTAATCTCATGCAACAAATGTTAGAGAAATTATAACACGAAAGTAAAACTTTTTGCAGAAAAACTATAAAACTACAAACTAGACACTAGGTCCTAATGGGCGTGCCAATTTGTTTACTGTGAAAATTGGTAAATAAAACGCTGGTCTTCCAAATCGAAAAGTATTTGGTTGCTCACAGGATCGACCTGATTGATCCTAAGACAATAGTGTTTAGTTTTCTTTTGAGTCTTTTTGGGGTTCAACCTCTTTGACAGAGATTGTGACTTTGAATGTGGTGATAAGCTGATTTAAAGTAAATACTGAAATGTAAAAGAGTTTTGACTTAAACTTAAAAGGAATGTAAATAACTTCAACTGAAACTGAATAACATTGAATATAAAACTGGTACATCGTACGTACATTCTCAGTAACTCTTTCTCGAACACTTGGTACTTTGAGTATTTTGAGTAATTTGTACAAAGAGTGAACACACTGAATTCTAACACAAAAACTCCTAGTTATAATAAATCGAAACTAACGGTAACAAACAGTCTTCTCTTCAGAGGATGACACGTTCTCACTTGCATGTTTCCATCCGTTCGCAGGCTTCCACGTATCTATTTCAAAGATCCGATAAGACCAAAAATTAATAATAACCTCGTTTGAATACCTGTGGAATCCGCCTCGAGTATCTTCATAAAAAAGCTAAGTATCTAGCTTTACTTTATTTCAGCCGTCGATCGTTGCGTACTTCGATTGAAATGTGAGTCTCGTCTCCTCTTGTCGAAAACTAGCTCTAGTCTATTTTGATGTTTATCTTTAAATCCTACTCGAATCTTCTAAGTGTCGTGTGTCGAATTTACAACTAACAACAATAAATTATTATAGCAAAGGTAGTTTCGGATATACATATTTAAAAATATTCTGAAAATTTAAATCCAACATTTAAATAATAGAACATTAAAAAAGAAGAATTTCGAATATGTATATCTAAATCATCTTAAAAACGTAATTTAAGATGCATTTGAATATGCATATCCGAAAAATATTTTTGAATTTTTAGAAATTTTCCTTAACTTTTGCAATAGATATCGAGGCCCATGAGCCCATGCAATAGATATCGAGGCCCATGAGCCCAGCCTCGTTCCTGAAATTGGCTTCAGCGTAGTCTAGAAAAACGACATACTACGAAGCATTGACGGTCAAACTGACACGTCCTAAGTTTGTGTAACTTGTAGCCTCAACCTTCTTCATACAAATCTATTAACCAATTGAATTTCTATTTCGCGTCTAATCTTCGGCTGAAAAAAAAACGAAAACAAACTTCGCATATTCGCTTGCGTGAGATTCACGATGATCATGATCGCCGACACCGTCACAGTCATCGCCGCCAAAAGCATCTGTATCCTCCGTGGCTACCAATTCTCCATCGCCGATTCATCTCCCGAACAGATCTCAGCCATGATCCACCCTTGCGACGCGGTGGCGCCGCCGCCGGTGAAACCTAGTACACATAGGACTCCGAGGAGGACGCTTACCCGGAGAAGACGACGAACCAGACGGAAGCTATCAGGCGATGATTCTGGAGGGGAGGGGTTATTCTTTGGCGGCGACGGTGGTTTTGGAGGTGGAAGTGGAGGTTTTGGTGGCAGTGGAGGAGGTGGTGGTGGTGATTGGAATTTTAACAGATATGGAGAGGGAGATAATTGGGGTGAACATTCGCGGTCGTTGCAGGATCCGGCGTTCGATTTCGTTTATAAGGTGTTGTCTTTGATTATGCTGTGGAACTGTTTATATTTTGCGGTTAAGAAGATTGTTAGGATTGTTTCGGATGGTTCGATTGTTGATTCTGATAGGGAAAAGGTTCCTACCAGTTTGACTCCAATTTGCTGATTTTGTTGGTACATTTTCTGATCCACTTTGAATCCTCATATCAATGCTTCTTGGGTTGGGACTGGTTAGTGTAGAATTGGTTTTACTTTGTTTAATATAAATTTGGAAATTACTGTAAATATTGTACATAATTTATCATCTAATAAGAATTGCTATCTTATTTCTCTGTAAATTGTAAATTGTTGATCCTTTTATGTTGCATTACTTTGATGGTTTGGATATATATAATTTATGATATATCTCAAGTTCTAACATGATTTATGCTACTAATAGTTTATAGGAAGCCTCTTGGTGAAGGCTTGGGTATGCTCCTCTCAAGTCTGAGGATTGAATGATGTTAGGTGCTAACAATCTTTGTGTTTGGTTCGTTTATATAGAGTTTTGCTCTGGTTTTAAATAGACCCTCCGCTAGTGGATGGTGGGATTGGTTCTCTAGGATTAGTAGGTCGGATACCAAGTTTTCAGAAATTAAAAAAAAAAAAGTTTATAGGAAGCAATCTGGTTCAGTGTTGAATTATTAATCATTACTGCATAATTTGGGTTAGTTATATGTATTGTGTGCAAGGCAAGGCAATCTCTTTTATGAGTTAATTTTTGTCATGTGTTTGAGAGGATAGTACCAAAGGGAAGAAATATACTTTTGGAATTTCCTTGGAAGTAGGTTCTCAACAGTGTTATCTAATATCCGCAATTGCGGCGCTATGGTGGATATACGTGGCGGTTTTTGGGCTCGCCGCAACGGTAAATATCAGCCAATGTTGCAGCTTTTTCTGGCCTAAATTGCTATAGTGGCGCCACAAAGCGTCCAGTATGGCGGGATTTTGGTTCTCCACCTTCTGCCATAGACAACACTGGTTCTCAATCATCTGAGCAAGATCATATTACCTCCTCAACAATTTTAGTTTCTTGTGCCACTTCAATATATTTTTATATGGTTGAAGCCGAAGAGAGAAATATATTATTTTGGACTTTCCTTTGAAGTAGCTTGTATGTTACTGTTTGTGCTGCAAAGTTTTTATTCTGTTTTGATCCTTCATTATGGTGTTCTGCTCTTTGGTGTGTTGTTGGTTTCAAACTATTGCTTGTTAACCCTTTTTATAAGCTCCTTGTCAACCTTAGATTTGAGAATAGTTTAAGGATTATGTGTTACATTTCTTTCTGTTTGGAGACTAAATAAGAGAGACAGGGATAGTTTACATGGATAAAACGAAAGGGTTATTTGTTTTTTTATGCTAGCTTTCTTATTGGCTTCTGTTAAAAATAAGTAACTGGATTCCATTTTGTCTTCTTTGTTTAGTTATCTAGGTTGATCTTTCTTGTGCACCATGTTAGGAAGATCTCCTATCTCCTTGTAACTCTTGAACATTATACCTATGTAACACCGACATCTCTGAAAAATAGTGTGTCAGTGTTCATGTCACTATCTCTGAAAAATAGTGTGTCAGTGGTCACTGACAACTCTTAAAAATAGTGTGTCAGTGTTTATGTCAGTGTCACCTACACTTGTGAGGATCTTTAATTTATTTATTTTTAAAATTATTAACAATATCGATGCCAATTTTGGTGCTGTGTTCGGGATATTCGTGTTTCATAACATTCTACCAATTTTTTTTTGGCTAGAGGCCGTGAGGGTTACTACTAGCTTGACTTTAATGTTTATTAGCTCACCATTTACTTATTTTCAATCGAGACCGTAATAATCTTACCTATTTGTTATTGATGAAATTTTAATTCTCTCGAAGATGATTGAGTAAAAAAAAAAGCAATGTTCTTGAAGGAAAACAGATTAATAGGTATTTTGTCAAAAAAAATATTTATATTTCATCCTTTAACATTTCAAAATTATCTACTTTTAATCCTTCATTAAACCAAATCAGCATGACATGCACATCATGTAATTTTTAATCAATTTTCAATTGTAAGACATGCACATGCCGTAATTTTTAATCAATTTTCAGTTGTAAATTAAAATAAGTGGTATTTACTCATGATTAAAATGCAAGTCTTTTTAATTAACAAAATTACTACTAATCACTAATTAATTAATCTAAGCCTTAATTTCCACCTTTAACCATCATCAATTTATACTCGATCTTTCGTGCGTTCATCTCCTATTTTCCTTCTTTCTGCTATTGGAGCAATTGAAACTTCTTATTCTTCTCTGTTCAATCTTCATGTTAACATTCGCCCTTCGTTCGTTCCTTCATGAGAATGTCGGCAAACTCAAACTCTAGCATGCATTCAAATGAAAGAATTCGTAGTAAGACAAGGGTGTAAAAGAGTCGAATTCGTAGTAAGAGTCGTGATTCAAGTAATGTGAAAGTGAAGGGTGGCGTATGGTTCGAGCAATCCTATAGTGTAAAAGGAGTTGAAAGTTAAGGATTTTTATTGGACAAATTCGCTGAAGTTTAAGAAATGTGTGAGTTTGTTAGTAGGACAAGATTGATCCACTAGTATGGATCAAGCATTGCAACTAATTCCATACAATGAAGGAGAAATGATAGTTTTGTCTCGCGTATATCACAAGGCGAGGTAGTGTACCGGTGTATCAGCTCGTAAGGTTACCATAACATCTTGGAAGAACGAGAGTACTTTAGGGAGCGTGTTCGGATGGTATCTTCCAAATGGTAGAAGGCTTGAGAAGTATTAAAGTCAACATCTTTGGGAAGGTCTAAGGAAGTGGTGAAGCATATGAAGATACTCGAGGACATGACGACATATCCCAAATGGGACATGGCTGCACTAGATGAGGGGTAAGAGATAGACCTAGTGTACCCATTCTTAGAAGGGAGATTGTGTTCAGGATAATTCATTAGAGATTCAATGTCAGTACAAGATCAATTTTGAAATATTGAGCTATCTAAGGATTAGTTGTAAGAGTTTTGTATAGAGAGAGAGAGAGAGCATACACTTTTATATCTTAAGGAGTTTATTAGGTCTGTGGCAGGCAATAAAGAGCATACAAAGCTTGAGTACAGAAAGAAGTGTGGAACATGAAATGGAATACATCGTGTGAACTTGTAAGCAATTGACAAGAGTTTTCAGTTGAGAATCGTTCAGATATATAACTCCGTGCGATGAAGCATATAATGGATGTTAAATTCGAAATGGAATTCAAATCAGTAAGTGTGTGAGAATGTCAAAGTTCATCTTGAGTGCGTAATATTTGGTTGACAAGAGTAGGAATGACTTATTGAAAGTTAGGTTGTTGTGTATTTTTTCCCTAAGTAGTCTTTGGATTGATTGATCAAGGAGTATGATGTTCACACTTTGTTGGAACTAAGTGTATCTCAAATTTCATTTGGTGTATCGTTGTGGGTGTATAATTTTGAGAATGGAGTTGCAAGTTAATGCAAGTCAGATTGATAGTTTTGAAATTGAAATTTTTGAAGGTGTATTGCGTAGTTGATCACCTGTAGAAATGTCAAAAAAAATTTACGTTTATGAAGTGTTCTGGACTGGGCGCGCAATTGGCCCAAACATCATATACGGCCTAATCCAACTATATTGTAGAAGAAGACCAGCATGAGAGTCTACCCTTGCCTATGTCGGGAAGTGATTTCATTCTTCTCATCGACCAGGATATATCCTTCGGGGACAACCTCACCACATGACTCGCGAGGAGGACCAACGGTGCTCAGGAGGTCCTCGCGAGCACCCTCCTCGTAGGGCAAGCATCCAACGCCTCTGAATATCATGGAGTTCCCTTGACCCCGAGTAAATCGCATCCACGTCCTCGTGATAATTCAGAGGAGTCCACTCAGGTTGAAGACCACGTGCTGGCCCCCACTACACACGTAGAATCTGACAGTCTCTATTAGGCTTGCTCTCTCAGTCTAATATGGGGACCTTGGCCCAACGCTGAGGGATATTAATACCCTCTCACTTGATATGTCCAGTTATTATTATTCATTTATTCACCCATACTCTCACGTTCTACTTGCACTTACTCTGAACCTTACTTTGGCATCAGAGTGTCTTGCAGGTACCCCCCTCCCCCATTTCACATTTAACCACTGCTCGACTTAAAGCTCGTGGACCTTGACAATCTCTTCTGAACAGGTACGATCAGTGGCACCGTCTGTGAGAAACCAAATTCTCCGTATTTTAACTCAAGACCAAAGTAACTCTTTACAATTATTTTGATTGTTATGGCCGACCCAGCTTTCAACGATGACTAGAACGTCCACTTCGCCGATGTTGGGCACAACAACACGGGAAACAACAATGGCGTAGCCACCCATGAGAATGACAACATGGACGAACTGAATGTCTCTTCACTCACCCACTCACAACCATGCGACGACGACTACCATCCTTCGCAAAATTATGAGCCCAACGCATATCAGGAGATCCCCGTTCTTGAAGGTGTTGAAGCCACGACCAGAGCCTTGTTCGTGGTGATTAACCAGACTAATTACGTGATCTTCTCACATAGTGAACGACTGATGATGTTGGAGCAGACTCACCGAGCTCCTAGAAGGCATAGAAGACCTGATTCTCGAACTTCTCCTCCTCAGTATAAAGATTGCTCCCGATCTCCCTCGGGGAGACACGGACGGGATGACTCTCGAAACCCTTCTCCTTGCCAAATTGGGTGAGGTTCTGCATTGGAGAGGAACCAACCCGAAGATGTTAAGAAACGCAGGCACCCCCCCGATGCAAGGAGCAGCGATCCCCCGAACGAAAGAGAAATAGAGAAAACAAAGAGAAGCATTCTCGACCAAGGGACCCTCCCCGGGGCCAAGGCCGACACAGAGACTGTTGCTACAACCGGTCCCCCTCTCACTCCCCTGAAAGAAGCTACGAAGACGACCCCCGTGGTCTACTATCCCAGGAGATCATAGAGGCCCCTATTCCTAAAGGAACAGAGAATCCCCCTTGTTGAAGGAGTACGACGGTATTACAGATCCTACCGACCACATCGACGGGTTCAAAGCGATGCTCCACTACCACAACATTGGAGGCCCAATTAAATGTAGGTTATTCCCCATGGTGCT